ATAATGATGGAATGAGCCAACGATGGTTAAAGCAGGTTTCTCATCACCTAATTCTAATACAAGAGTCTTATATAGCAATAAAAGTAACCAACAGAAAAATAAATAGTTTGATCATGAAAAATAAACAACAATCAAACAATAAAATTAAAATGATGCTTCCAAACCCTAGACACTCTTGCACTCCATGGAGGTGATTCAAAAGGAGGACGATCCAGCAGTACTGTAGTCGCTTCCTCGCCCTGCCTCTTGTTCATCATATTCTCTACCAAACCTCCTCTGTCACCACCTTTCACGAATAACTTCGAATCTAGGTCTGTTCCAGCCTCTAGGCCCACGATTCGTCCATGACCTTCGGTCGCCAGAGACCTTCCGTACCTGCACAACGTTCGGCCGCTGGAGACCAAGCATCTTCTTCCCTCCGCTTAATCTCGCCAAAGCAAAAAAAAATAGCTGCCCAATTGATGACGGAATCTTCCCTGTACGCCTAAGCTCGCCTGCAGAGGCCGCTCCTCGTTACAAATGATAGCGGAGAAAAAAACCTAGCTGCGGAAACCCAGCCTAGAGAGAGAAGCTCTCTTTTTTAGAGAAAGACATTATCCGATGGTTTTTTAGTAAATTTTAAAGTTTACTAAAAAGATTAACATTATCAGATGGTTTTTCCTAGTAAATTTTAATCACTAAAGATTAACTTTTGAGAGAAAGACATTTACTAACATTAGCTTTTTAGTAAATGTTAATCTTTAGTGACTAAAATTTACTAGGAAAAAGTTTTCTTAGCTTTCAAAAGAAAGATTAAAAGGAAAAAGTTATAATTGTTTGATAAATAACTAATTGTTCAATTAATTAGTTGTGTTTGGTATAACAAGTTGTAACTAATTAATGCTAAAAGTTACCGATCTCTCAGTGTAGATTCTCAAAAAAATATCTTATATTGAAATAAATTTTCAAAAATTGACATGTCAAAATACGAAGAGTTTTAGAGACATTTTAAATTTTACAAAAATTAGAAGATATAGAGCCCGTTTGGTAGCACGAAAATCGGCCGATTTGGCTGATTCTGCTAAATTTATGAAGTTCTGGCTGAAGTGGCTGCTGCATTGGCTGATTCTGCTTATTTAAGAAAAAATATTTTTAAAATATATTTATTAATAAAATAAAGAAAAAATTATATGTAAAAATAACTAAAATGGTCATCTACAATAACTTCAGCCAATACAGCCAAACAAGTAACTTCAACCTTACTTTTTCTGCTTAGTATACAATTCAGCGCGCGAAAACAAAAGTTACGTGTATGGTGAAAAAGTTGACTGATAAGTCTGAAAAGCCGAAAAACAGTCAACGGCCGAAAAACGTATGTTAACCAACACACGCACTATGTCTGCGAGCTATCCCGTTCTCATTTGTATCTGAAATGTGTCAAAATGTAGATTTTATTTACATAAAATGCAAATTTTAATAGTGACATACTGACATTTGATCATTTTTACCTTTCAAGTATATTTAGCTTGAATGAACATAAAACAAATATGAATTGTCTTGCAAGGGTTTTCACTCGTTTTGGTCATTTGAGTATTACGTTAATGATACTTAGTATTCCATTTTGAGTTTTCCACTTTAAATCCATTAACTATTCAAAGAGAAACTCTTGATGCATGTCTATTTAATTTTGTATATTTGGTCTTAGACTTTTATAAATGTGATTATTATCCTTTCAATATGATTTTATCACAAATTATTTAGAAACTAAATATGTCGCTACGATAATAATGGTAAAACCAAAAGTTTTACTTTTATAGCAATGAGAAGATTATGTCAAAATAGTCAAAGTTGAAGACCAAAGTGTCTCTCTTGCCATAATGAAAGGATTGAAAGTGAAAAAACTCAAATAAAATTATATATTACAAATGTCACTAATATAAAAGTGGGATGATCACAAATGATCTTTGTTAAATTAGAAATTTGTTTTTAGCACGAAGAGCACAAATGTACTAACTTTGAATTTCGATTAAACTATAATAACTAAAAGTTTGTAGATCTGATTTTTCTTGGTAAAATAATAATTATATAAAGTTGTAAGATCAAAATAGCTCTTAATTATTTTCATTACGAAATACGGAGTATAATATACGGAGAAATAGCTCTTAACTCCGAGTTGTATTTTGAACGCTTTGTCTTTTGATCTCATTAATGCTAATTAAGTTCATTTCTGTCAAAAAAAAAAAAAATATACGGAGTAATAATCAAATCATTTCCAATAATCATTTGCTTTTCAAAGCAAAAAGCTCATCCTCCTTGAATTGGTGACACATGCATGTAAAGGCCAAATGGCATCATTTGATTCTCTGTTATCCCTGATATGATTTTGGGTTAGAATTGGTATATTTCGTACGGGTTATAATCGATTAATAATTTCCCGAGTACATGATTTGACGCATCTGGTTGTTTCCCCTATTTCATCTCTAATTAACATTCAAGAGTATTAAAATATTTGTCTCACAAACAATGAGATAAGATATGAAATCAATGTATTAGATTATAGGTTATCTGTATATGGTTACATACTTACATAACTTCAACTACTGTCTACTGATATAGTATCAATTTTTTTGTTGGGTTCTCGCTATTTATACATTTGATTTTAGTGTGGTTCAGTTTGATTTGGTCTCATAGCCTTGTTGACATATTTCTCCCACAAAAAAGCTTAAAAATCAAACCAAATATAACATCATCTTCAAATATAATTGAATTAGTCATCTTCCAACTATTCTTGATTAAGAATTATTATCATCATCATAAAAATAATTAGGAGGTTATAATTAAGATTTCAAGGTGATAAATATGTGGTTAGGGCTGAGCAAAACCCGATCCGACCCGAAAAACCCGATATATTTTTCGGATATTATCCGAACCGAAGTGGATATCCGACCCGAAAAACCCGAAACCGAAAATCCGATTAGTATTGGGCCTAGACCGGGTGGCGGGTAGGGTTTGTGAAATCCCAACCCGACCCGCCCGAATATCGGAAATATATGTTAGTGTGTACTTTGAATATTTAATTTAATACCTGTGTTCAATTATTTGTGTAATTATTTGTGCAATTTGTATTAAATTATTTGTATAAATTGAATGTGTAGTGAACTAGTGTGTACAATTTTGGTTAAAGTGGCATTCCAATTTCCAACACTTTAACTATCCAATTATAATGTGTTTTGATATAACCAAAATTTCCGAAATATATTAAATTATGTAGTGTGTACTTTGAATATGTTAAATTAATACTTGTGTTCAATTATTTGTGTAATTATTTGTGGAATTTGTGTTAAATTATTTGTGTAATTTGGAAGTTTAGTGCACTAGTGTGTACAATTTTTGTCAATGTGGCATTTAAACACTTTAATTATCCAATTATAATTTTTTTTAATATAACCGAAATATCCGAAACCCGACCCGATATCCGATAATATCCGACTTAAAAATATCCGAAATACCCGATTTGAAATATCAAAGGGTCGGGCATAGTATTTAAATTAAAAAACCCGAACGGGTTTAGGGTTCGCAAACCCGACCCGCCCAAACCCGACCCGTGCACACCCCTATATGTGGTTAACAATGATTCCCTAATCGATCTCATTGAGCTCACACTTTCTCCTATAAATATGAGTCATTCTCATTGTAATTAACATAACATTAGAACATCTCTAATATACTTCTATCACACCATTAATAATATCTTTGTCACTAAGTGTTCATACTATACTTTCTCCCCATGCCATAATCTTCTACATATTTTCTTCCATTTCATAACACTCTTGATCATTCATTCTATTTGGTTGACATATTAAAATGGAATTCCCAAGTCCCAACCTTTATAGGTTTGCATGATTCTGCCTCTCTAATTTTCTTGTTGGTGATGACAGGGGCATTAGCACGAGCAAAAATTGTGATTAACACCATTATAAAAAATTCAAATAAATTTTATAATGGTGGTACTCTAGAAAACTGACGGCCATGGCATGTGTTTGATCACTCGGGGAAGGCAAAAATGTGAATTTTGAACCCACAAAATCAGATAAATGCAAAGGACTACGAACTTATTATAGCTCTGATCTGTTTAAAATTTGAATTAATAAGCAAAACATAATTGGAATATCCATAAAAAAACATAATTGGAATAAGCATATATTTTATTCGAAACGGAGCCTTCAAGTTCAAGTTGGATCCGAATATATATGAAAATTAAATATTGGTGCTTCCTTGCACATATGGAGACGATGTGACCAATTAGCAAAGTATTCGTGTCCCAATTACGGCCTTATTATGTACAGAAAACACACTTCATTTCAACGCGAATGAATGCCAGCTCAAATAATTTAGTTGCTTGTATGTCATTTTCGATATTTGTATAAATGAGGAAAAACAAGAGTTTATATTTGCATTTATTGCGGAATATTTATAAATACTTTTCATATATCTATCTTTTCCCTTTTTTTTTACTATTACAAACTACTATAATTATCCCTTAAAGGAAAGAAAAACTAAACTAAAATAGATTTACAACTAGAGAGATCGAAAGAACAAAATTTCCCATATCCACTTTTCTTTCACGGTATATTTATGTCATTGTTCATTATCATGCTTTAAGTCGGTTAAAAGGGTCATAATTGCTGAAAATGTAGGATAGATAAAAAAAAAGTTTTCAAATTGTGAAACACTTGATTACTCAATTGTATCAAATAATATTATAAAAAAGACAAATTTTTAGAATCGACAAGTTGTTGTATTCTAACATGTTAGCTGAGGTCTTTGCTTTTATTTTGAAAATTTCCATTTTATTTAAGATTCATATCAAAGCGCAAGCAAACGAAACTCTTAAAATCTAATAATTTACAATCAATTCATTCCATATTTTCCCTTTTTTTAAGACAATTTATCACATTTAAATTTGGTATTATATATACTAATACTCTACTGCCTCATCAGGAGATCGCGGTTTAAATAATGGGAAATACTTAATGTACACACATTATACATGTGTTGTACATGGTATATATAGCTTTTTTTACCTTTTCTTTTTAGAATTCACTTCCTCCTTTTCTCTTCACCTCTTTCTCTCCCTACAACCTTTCCCCTTCCACGACAACTCCTCCACTCTTTCCCAGTTCTTCACTTTTGGAAAATCCCACAAACCCTACCTCTCTCCTTCAATTCGTAATTATCTCTTGTTTTTTTTCTCCTTTTTTGTTCTTGTTGTGGAAGACGGGATGATGAAGCCTACGACGTTAGATTCGTCCGTTCGTTTCCGCTGGCATATTCATTTCCCCTTCATCTTCCTTCAAACAAAGGCTTACTCTCCGCCTACTCATCGGGCTGCTGACTTTCCCTCCGGCTATTCATCGGGATTCTCTCAGTAAGGGTTATACCTATTTCTGCATTTTTGTTTGTGTTTTTATTGACCTTTCTTTACTCAATCGCACGATATCGGGGGGAAATTGTTTTCCCCGGCGTATTTTGGCTGTTTAAAGTGTTGTAGTTCTACAGTTAATGGAATTTGATAAAGTGTAGTTGACAGTCATGTATGCTAATACACTATTTTGCAGGCCTTCTTCAATATTAGGTCCTAATGTGGGAGGTTTGAAAATTGGGATACATTTTAAAATGTATACTGAGTAACAATTAGCCTATTTTCTCGTTAAAATTTCTGGATACATTTTAAATCACTTTGGTTGGTTTTTACACAGTACACCCACATTGTATACTTTTCAACTTTCTGAATTTCTACTTCAGAAGTGCTTACACAAACTTAGATGTTTATTTGAAAATGAAAAGCAAAGTGATTGGAAAGATAACACTAATTGATTAAAAGTTAAAACAAAAAGCTAACAGCCAGTTACAATAAGATAGATAGTTCGATTATTAGATTCTTTGGTTAAGTCTCTGTTAAATACATGCACATAATTCTTCTTCTTTTTCTTTTTTATTATTTAAAAATAAGTTCTTATTGCACTTCTCCAAATTACTTTTTACTAATGTCTATAATGTATTTCAATGAAGCACATTATCGTGAGAAAACATACCCTTAAGATTTATCTCAAATGTTTCCTAGCATGTATTTTCTTTCATTATTCAGTGATTTATGCTCATTTTTTCTTCATACCAGGTCAATCAAAAGATTGATAAGAGTGAGGTAAAGACAAAGAATTTTTCATGGTTGCTGACAGTGAGGTAAATGTTTAGCTAGTCTTTTCTTATTTTTTTCTTTATCATATTTAGGTGTTCATTTGTGTTAGACATAATACATTCATCTCTTATTGAGCACCTGTTTTTAAACTGACACAATTATGAGTTAATCCATTTTCTTAAATGCCATAGTTTGCTTCTGCACTATTCTCTCAATGAATAACAGACTGGCTCCTGCTATTCCTTGTCAAGCTTTTGCATGCTTTGTTATCTTATTTATGCATTTTCAAGTATAAATTTGAAATTTAAGTATAAAAGCATGTCTGAAATATCTTCTTGGTGTTCTTGATCTTGATCGTTGGGATGCTAACACGGTTTATCATTGTAGTTTATCAAATTTGATAAAACATCCAGTTTGACCTTTTTAAAATCCCCCCCCCCTAAATTTGTTGTCATTCCAAATGTTCCATATTTATCTTTTCCTCAATATTTTAGGGCTATTTTTGTTTTTAGTGCTAAATTTATGACTTTGCTATTATGGATTTGCTATTATGGATTGGTGATGTTTATTATTAAGAACTTGATATGATTATGCTATATTATTGCTTGTCTAACTATATTGTTGCTTGTTTGACTATGTTTCAGGCTCACAGAGTGGACGTGGGAGCAGTGTGTAAAGTTAGTCAAAAAGTGAAAGAAACATACCTTTATCTTTTTCAGAAATGCGAGGGAGTAGATGAGAATATGAGATATGGACAAAACTGAGATCTCGTTATAGGAGAATATGTAGAACTTTGTTAGAGTGCATACAAGAAATTATTGAGGGGGTAGATACTGAGAGTTGCTTTACTTTTGTTGTAACATTATGGAGTATTTGGAAACAACAATTTGACATAGTATGAAAGGGAATTGCTTTTGCCTGCAGTTCTATTATGCTCACTTTGCTTGTTATAGCTTTATTGTTTTGACGCTTTCAAAGATTTTATTGTTTTGATGCTTTCAGTTGATGTGTTGAACTGTTGATGACTTGTTTTTCTTTTGTTTCATTGTTCTATTGATTTCCTATAGGTTTACAAGAATAAAGAACACTTGAGCTACTTTCTGATGATCAAGTATTGAAGTCCACTACAAATGAGCAGCATTTATTTTAAATATAAATTTGTAAAGTAGTACTCCCTCCGTCCCGCTAAGATTGTCCCATTTTACCTTTTTGGGAAGTCCCACTAAGATTGTCCCATACCAAATTTGGTAAAGATTGTGTGGCTCTAAACCATTGTTTAAAGATAGTACTTTATCAATTTAATATCAACCACACAAACACACTTTTCTTAATAATCGTGCCACCTTTTTCCGTCCCAATCTTAGTGGGACGGAGGTAGTATATGGTTAGATATATTTGTGATAGTTCTCTTATGTGCACCAAGTGTAATAATTTAAACATCAAATTTGCTCTTCTTATTTACTCTGTAGTATTTAGTGTGATTTATGATGTTATAATCTTTTGAATTGGAATTGAATAAAACATGATAATTGTATTGATAATGGGACAAGAGAACTAGAAGTGTCATTCTTGTAACTAATTCTTCAATGTAACATCATATTTGCTCTTCTTATTTCAGTGGTTATTGTTTATAACTAGACATTTAATGTCACGTTCAGTCATTCCAATTAGCACATTTGCTTGTTCCAGCAGATATTGCCTGTAGCCAACATTTCAAGTGGTTATTCTTTGTGGCCAGACACCTCGTATCAGGTTCACAAACATTTTCACTTAGTACATCAGTCCATTTTAGTGGTCATTGTCTATAACCAGACACTTCATGTTTGGTCCACAGACAATTCCACTTAGCACAAGAATAGGCTAATGGGCTAATGTGCTCAGTAGAATCGTCTGTGAACTGAACATGAACTGTTTGGTTACAAACAATAACCACTTGAACGGACTAATGTACTAATTAAGTGTGGATGTAATATGAAGTGTCTGGCCACAAACAATAACTACATAATGGGCTAATGAGCTCATGTGCTAAGTGAATTGTCTGTGAACCATATATGAAATTTCTGGCCACAGACAATAGCCACTGGAACAAGCAAATGTGCTTATGTGCTAAGTGGAATTGTCTGTGAACCAGACTTGAAATGTCTGGCCACAGACAATAGCCACTGGAACAAGCAAATGTGCTTATGTGCTAAGTGGAATTGTCTGTGAACCAGACATGAAATGTCTGGTCACAGGCAATAGCCACTGGAACAAGCAAATGTGCTTATGTGCTAAGTGGAATTGTCTGTGAACCAGGCTTGAAATGTCTGGCCACGGGTAATAGCCACTGGAACAAGCAAATGTGCTTATGTGCTAAGTGGAATTGTCTGTGAACCAGACATGAAATATCTGGCCACAGGCAATAGCCACTGGAACAGGCAAATGTGCTAATTGGAATTGTCTGTGAACGCAACAGGAAGTGTCTGGTTACAAACAAAAGATACATATTTACAACGTCTTTGATTCTTAAGGGAAAAACAAGCATGTTTACAAACAAAGTGTTCCATTAGCAAGAACAAACATTATCATTTACAACCCAAATGTCATATACCCTCCAACATCTCAAGTCTCAATGCCAGCTAATCTAAAAAAACAAACATGATCATTTACCACCCAAATAACAACACATTCTAGTGTCGATTAATCTAAAAGAAACTAATTTGAGATCATACAATTCAGTCACATTCGATGAGCTCCACCTATGACTAAATTAGTTGGCATTCTTCATAAGACCATCATCTTCAAAAGATCATCATGTTCCCTTCGCCATGCCTTATCAATTTGAAGGACCCATAAGTATGTCAAACTTGTTGATCCCATGGCTGCAAAACTCATATGAATATAGAAATAGCTACATAGAGATAATGATTAATAACGAAGTATTCAAACAATGATTATTATAAGGGATAGGACTGTCATGTTTTTATTCCCAAAATAGGACTAATTACTGCCAAATTTGGAAAATACTGTCATGTTTGAAGTCTGATACTGCCAAAACATGGCAGTAATTAGTCTTATTTTGGGAATAAAAACATGGAAGTCATATTTTGGAATTTTCAAACTTTTTTAGTCCCATTTTGGGTAATATCTCTTATTATAATATTACAAAACTGAAACAAACGATAGTACACCATACAAACGATAGTCCAAGTGGGACCCTAATAAAAAACTAATGGTGCTCTCTACTGCATACTTACGAATATTCCAAACTAAAATTAAAAATAATCAAATAAATTAGTCATTCAAAAATTATAGTACATTTTATGGAATAAAAGAGTCAACTATTTAATAAAAAAAATGCTCTCTCATTTTAAAAAAATAGAATATGAAACCTATTAAACACCAAAGTGCATTTACAAATTAAAAATAGGAGGAAAAAATATTGAATATGAACAAAAGTTCACTTAGTCATTTCAACAAACACCTTTCAGGCAAAAACAAGCTAGAGTATTTACACTAAGATTTCAATAATTAACTCCTCATATATCTTACAATATAACAAAACAATCATTCAAGGTTATAACATACACAACATACATAAAATCGGGAAAAATATATATAAAAAATGGCAAAGCACACAAGAAAAATAGGAAATATAAATGACCTGATGGCTTGAGAAAAAAGGTCAACCGTAGAGACGAATCGTGTATGCAAACTAAATGAGGAGAGTGATTCAAATGATGTAAAAGTTAGAGAACTTGAAAACCGAAGAAAAAAAAAAGTGAAAGAAGAGAACCTAGAGCGCAGAGAAGAGAACGAGAGTGAAGAGGGATTAAGGGAAAAGAAAGAGATAGAGAGGATGGAGTAAAAGATAAAAATGAGATGGTAAAAAAATAAGGTATATATAATGTGTACATGTTGTGTACACTTTGTGTACCCTAAGCAATATTGTTAAATAATTTGGTATGGATGGAAGAGGTTTCTTCAATTATTTACATTTATTACGCTTCTTTTTATATGAGTTTTACCATTTTTAAAATTTGAATACTCCCAATACGTCTCATTACCTTTTTACAAAAGACTGATCGGATTTTCTTCTTGTTATATAACTCTTTAGGAATTCCAAATTTCCAACAATTTGTTTAATCGATAATTCGATACTAATTGCAACCCCAATCTATCAGACATTTCATTTCCAGCAAATGATGACTTTTATTTGTCTCTTCAATTCAATTGATTCTTAATAAGTTAATATATTCAAGTCAATTTGTGAGGGACGTTTTAGCTATATAATAAATTCTTGATAAATAATACGGAGTAGGAGGAAAACATAACCAAAATTTTAAAATAGAGCATATTTTTTTGCAAATTAGAACTTGCTTAGTTAGGGTGGTCCTGTGTGTTTTCAATACACAGGGACTAAATTATATTCTTTATTGTGTATAAAGTTGTATAATAAAGAAAAAAATTACTTTATTGCGTAGAACTATTAACTAGTTGTACATTTAAACAAAAAGAAAACATAATTATTTAATAAAAGTAGAAAAACGAAAATACTTTTTGAATGATAATGTGAAGAAAATCCTCATTTATTAAACACCTTCATAATAATAAAAATTTAAAAGTAATTAAAAATATACGGAGTACAATTTTTCACAAGAGCAAAATTTAACAATTTAATAAAATGCACACAACCGCACACATAAATAATTAAGAAAAGAGATTAATTAAATAACACACAATGAGACAATAATAAATATTAATTAGTAAAAAAATACTTAAAATTGTAAAAAATGAATACCTACAGTTACATTTTGATCTGTTGGGGCAGTCCCTGTTCGGTTTTTAATGATTTAAACGAAAATTTTATTGACATATTCGCCTGAAAAACACGTACGAAGTATAAAAATTAACACCTTGGGCTAAAAGCACAAATAGAATCATACTCGTAGAGCCTATTTGATAACATGAAAATGGGTTGATTCTACTGAAATTTATGAAGCTTTGGCTGAAGTGACTGCATTGACTGATTCTACTGATTTAAGAAAATAATTATTTTGAAAATATATTTTATTAATAAAATAAAGAAATATTATATTCCGTATATAAAAATAGTTAAAATGGTCATCTACAGTAACTTCAACCAATACAGCCAGAAAAGTAACTTCAACCTTACTTTTTCTTATTATTACACCATTCAACGCGTGTGAATAAAAGTTACGTGTTTGGTGAAAAGTTGGCTGATAAGTCTGATAAGTCGAAAAATAGTGTTACCAAACGGCGCCCTCACAACCTATTAAAATAATAAATAAAAAACTTCTAAAGTAGAAGTGCTTAATTCTATATTGGTAAAAACAATGAAGCTCTTATTTGAAGAAATTTGCTATTCCATATGTTTTTTAAAACTATTTAATTGGAAAATTATATCAAATTTATAATAAACAATATAAGACACTGTAATAGGCACCTTTGAACCGGGGACTCCGCTCAATTTTTAAGAAAATTAAATATTGGTGCTTCCTAATTGGATAATTGTAAGTCTTTATTCAATCAACAAAGTGCAAATGTCTGGATCGACTGGCCATGGATAATGGATTGATAGACACGTATGAGAAGCACATTCCTTTCTTAATAAGTTAATATTATTACACTATTTATTAATGATCGAAAGCAAGCTCAAATAATTTCTTAGCTTTGTGGATGAGGGTATGTCATTGTTTTGGTATTTTGTACCGACAGTGCTGTTTTATTTGCAGTATTTTTAAGTGCATGCACCTGTCGGTGATATTGTAATCTCAAACACGTAATCACCGCGGTCGGGTGAATATATGTAAATAACTTTCCTTTCTTCTCCTATAACTCTTTAGTAAGTTCTATAATTAATTTTAAAG